CGACTACACCTTGTACCCTGCCCGGCACTTACTACGCTCCCCCTTTTTTCCTCCCTCCCTCTCCTGATCTCCATTGCTGACTCCCATCTCTCTGTATCAACATCAAACGCCTGATCTGGTACAAACGTTCAAAGACTTAACAGTTTGTTTCCAACCTCTTTGTCATCGTCTCATTCCTCTGCTCTCTGTTTACTCTGGGATTTGTGTTAGAAAATACATTTCGGGATGGCTAATCCCACCATGTTTGATTTCTGCGGCAGGGTGATGGCTTCCAGCTGTGCTCCGCGGCATATTTGTGTGAAGAGCGATCTTCGAAAACAAGTTTTGTCTGTGGTATAAATCAGACCGTTAATGCTGCGCTGGCTCGGCGCACAGTCTCTCTGCTTCCATGGTGGCCCTGTGTGCGTGTCGGTGCGTGTGGCTGTGTGTGTTTGGCAAAATACAGAGTGATGATGTTTTTACACCACAATCAAGCCCATTTGCAAACCTGTAAATCAAATACCCTCAAGTGCCAGCACAGCATATTGCAAATTTGAATATGCAGCATAATCTTTTTATTTTTTAAACGTGCGTTTGCTCTCTGTATTTCGATAGAATTGATCATATTACATTTAATTCTCGACACTAGGCAGTGCTATCGGCTGTGTGCCAGTCCGGTCCCAGCATGCGGAGATCAGCATGCGTGTCAACCGTGTTCTTCATCATCTGCACAATAGTCGCTGTAGAAACAGCTAGCCTTGCTCTGTCCAGAGATAAACACAACAAAAAAAATCAGCCGAGCTTAGCAGCCTCACAGAAACATAGAAACATGATTTTTTTACCCTTCATTTTTGTACAGATTAAACAAACAAGGTGTAACATGCTAATTACTGAGTTTTAGAGCTGCTGGTAGGAGGATTTTTTCATTGTCCCAGGCTAGCTGTCTCCCCCTGTTTCCATTCGTTATGCTAAGCTAAGCTATGGTGGCTAAAAGTAGCTTATTTCTTATTTAATGCGTGGATCGTCTTTCTCGTTTCTCTTTTTTGGTCATTCTGCGCATTTGTTTTTAACATGTATTTCTCGAGAAAAGCTGTTCCACGAAGTTCTCGATAGTGAAGTAGCTTCCTTCAAACTCACTCCATCTCATTGTCTTAAGGCTTCTCTCTGCCATTCAGGCAAAGGGGCTCTCAAAGATTCTAGAGTGGCAGCTTTGTTTGTCCTGAACCCGCCTGCCATTAGGAGAAGTGAAACGTATATTAACAGCGTTCTTTAAACACTCTTGACCCCTGATGTCCACACTGAAGTGGCTCGACTTGGACCCCTAATTGCTTCTCACCGACAATGGCGGCGTTCCTCAGCTGAGAGCGCTTGTTTCTTATCGTAAAGTCAAAGTTATTTCCGTGCTCTTTGATTCTCCGCAGCCAGCACTCGGCTTCATCTGGAATCGAGCTCTTAGTGCTGCAGTACATGTGTTCTGTGGTTTTTAACTGCAGGTTTATGACAACACGCATAATAAGTGTTTGTTTTTGCAGTTACCTTGACAGTATTTTGTAACACAGCATAATGATATGGACTTATGCGTGCATGTGTGTGTCCCCTGTTTGTGGGTGTGCACATGCATATTTGTGCACTTAACATGAATTTAGACATGGCCGCATGCACACTGTGATTTCCTTTTTAGTTTGTGCATGTGTTCGTTTTTTTGTTCGAGGAGCATTTGAAGAGGAGCCATCCAGCTTTAGAAGCCAGATGTCAAAGGTCGTTCCACGTTAGTGCCATCGATCAATCGCAGGCCTTGCGTAACTCTCCGGCTTCTTTGTCTCTAAAGGAAGTGGATTAGAGGCTGTTTTTTCTGAGTTGGGACCTGGGATGATTAGTTAGGCCTGTTTTAGAATGCATGCACTCACAGATGCATACAAACATGCACTCAAAACAGACATCCTGGCTGGGAGAATAGACAGTTTTTTTTTTTTTTTTTTAAGAGGCTCGTTATTTCAGTTTCTGCCAAATCACTGCAAATGAGATAATGCCATGATGTTATTTTGATGCTGGCACATCAGGCAACTTTCTTTCCTACCTGCGGGTCAGAGTTGCTGGAAAATCCCCAACGTAACCAGGAACTTAGACTATTTCATTAAAAGCCACCAAGAAAGTAAGACCTCCAGGTGGCGTTTGGTGATCTGCCAAATCTGCCGTTTTAACCAGAATTTGGCTGGTGTTTGGAGCAAGACGTGTTTATTTATATAGTCACAAATATCACATACAATGTGTCGAAGGGCATTAGAGTATGTAGTCCAGACCCAGTTTAAGATTTGAGGAAAAGGAAAAGTTACTTAAGGACACAAGTCTAAGAGTCTACAACCCTCTGCTTGGGATGTGTGAGTCTGTACTTATGCGCCACAGTGTTATGAGATGTTCTGCAGGTATTTGTTCGTGATACAAAATATTGGACAAATTAAAATTTTGACCTGGAGATGGCACTGGAGGGGAAAGTCGAGGGAGCTCCAAATTCTTTAGGATACTTCGTCTCGGAACCATGTGTACCAGATTTCATGGTAATCCATCCAGTACTTGTTGAGATCTCTTGTCCTTTTAGAGCCTAAAAAGTGGAAGAAACCTCAAGAGGAAATTCAAAAAAAACATCCTCTCTCCATAGATAACTTCAAGGGTTAAAGCCACTGACAAAGAATGAACAGAATGTGTAGCGGTTGGTAGATAGTTAAAATACAGCAAAGATCATTAACCAGCAGTAGGAATCCTCTTGGTTAGATGGTTTACTCTAGATAAGGGCCTCCCCCCCTTTTGACTTTCCACCCTGAACACTGCCAAAAATATCAAACACTGACTCATTGTACATTACATTGCACTCTTTGTGGAGAGATCTGTCGATTAAATCAAATAATCGATTAGTATTGGTATACTTTTAGTATTAGAATTTCTTTGGTTTAGGACAGCCTTACTGACATAAATCATTGTTACTCGTAAAGCTTTAAAAACGCATATTTCTCAATATTAGGTCATGCAATGGCTGATTCAACTACTTTATTTATTTGATAATAAATGTCATTACAACCCAACCAAAGGAGAACTTTCTTGAGTATTTGGTTTCACAAACTTAAAATTTGTGTAAGGGACATCCTGAACGCGCTTTGGTCAAAGATACGTATGGTAATTGGTAGTTTCCATCAACCGAACATGCACATTTGTGTGCATATACACTCGCAGACAATGGGCGAAGTTGGAAATTGTTAGAAATTAGATATATGCAGGCCTATATCTCTTTACAATGAGAGACTGGGAGAGAGCCTCTGTTTCCTCCAGCGCCATCAAAGGGCCTCGCCCTCGGCTGGAGGCCTGACAGCTCGCAATAGATGATCCGAGCGGAGTGGCTGCTGATCGGACAGCATGATTACACCATACATCACAGGCTGCCCACCACAGGTCTTCATACCGCCCAAATGAACCAGCGCACCGGACAATTACACACGCTCACACAAAGGTTAATATCTCTTCAAACACAAACACAGTCCTCCACACACAGTTCGAAGGAGTTTATGAAAGAAGCTGTATTTTCATCGCATGTACTTATTTTTAAACCTCTGGAATGGGATTCTTGTTGCCAAACAATGATATTCTAACCCTTAAAAAGTCTCCCCCCCCCCTTTTTTTCGCTCATTTCTTTCTTTCTCTCTTTAATGTTGAAGTCTGGAGAATTTATTGGAGATTAACTTGTCAGAGAAGGCTTTTTCCACGGCTAACTTTACTACATTCATCATTCATACACATAACAGATAGCATTCCACAATTTATCACTGTGGGCCCATCTCCTCACCAGCAGAGGTGTGCGTGCGTGTGCGTGTGTGTGCGTGCGTGCGTGTGCGTGCGTGTGCGCGCGTGTGCGCACGCACGCATGCCAGTAAGTGTGTGTTTTCTCGCGTACTGTACAGAACATCACATGTTTGCGCGTGTTATGATGTAGTCTGTGTCTTAATGGGCAGACATGCATGCATGTTTCTGGCTGGCTGGAGCACACACACGCATGCACAGACACACACACACACACTTTTCCACACATGTACATAACTCACACAGAGAGACACACACAACTTGCTCTGGAAGCTTTCAGTCACAGACCATATATAGCTGCTTGTATGGCCGTGCGTGCATGTGCGTATGTACAAATTCAGCGTGTATTGCCAACACATTGTAGGGTATTGTAGGCTTGATCCAGAGAGGAAAGTTAATATGCTCAAAGGGAAAATACACACAGACACGTGCGCTTGTGAAATGATACATTGATCTACAAAAGTATGTAAAATAGATTTATGCATCATGGTTATGGTATTTCTTTTGTTTATTTTGGGTGTAACAAATTCCACTTATGGCTCAGAAACCCCTTTTTTATACGCTTGACTTGTCTGAGAAGATTGAAGTGCAGTCCATTTGTACAGAAGTAGCTGGGAGCTGTGTCGTGTTCATCGCTATATTGCTTCTATACCTGCTAGCTTACGTCTTCCGTTTGCTCTTTGATGTGTAAGAGCATTTTTGAACCGGTAATGTCCTCGCTCTCCTTCCTTCTCGTCCTTTTTGTCTCTCTGCGTCAGTCAGATATTTCTCTCCTTTCAGTTCTCATAGTTCTTTTTTTGCCATTTATTAAGATGCCTGCAGCTGTCCTGGGCATAAGTAGGCCAGGCAAACGCATGCACTCACATACACGGACACACACACACACACCCACACACATGCAAATACACGCGCGTGCACAGAGTGAGAGCCAGTGAGAAGTAGGGCAGATAAGCAGCCAATTTTACCGAAGCCCTTGGATCTCAGGAGCAGACTGTCCCAGAGGAGCATCATGTCATAACACTTCTGATTGCACAGCATTTAGGAATGCCTGCAGAGTTAACCTCTCAATGATGAGGGGTCGCCAGTGATGTCATCACTACCCCCTCTGATATCCCCCCCCCCCCCCCAAATCATACACATACACACCCTTACATTCATTCCCCTCCATTGCCATCTCTGTATGGTGTGGGGTAATTGTCCACAAATGCTCTGTGGTGGCAATTAGACATGCAAGATTTAACCTCAAGCCAACCACTTCCAAAAACACAAGACTGTACCCCGTTGAAAACCTCAGTTCTCTTGTCTTTTTGTGCTTTTGATTGATCTCTTCCTGTATTTGCTTTCGGGGTAACTCAGTGTTGTCCACCTTTGCTCCTCTCTTCCAGGTGCAGTACAGTGATGCACAGAGTGGCAAGGATTTTGTGACCTATCTGACCCTCTCCCCTGTGCAAATGACTTTCCACGGCACCGGGAGCACCCTCCAAGCCAGCCATGACCAGGTACGTGTGTGTGTGTGTGTGTGTATGTATTAGGCATGTGAAGGGAGGGTGAGTGTCACACCTGTTCAATGCACTACTGTAGAAAATGGGGGCATAGATATCAAATATAGTCATGGCAGTGCCAATCTGAAAACCACCAGATTATACAGGTATCAGCAATTTGATTGGCTGCTGCATGAAGCTGGTTGCAGACGCTTCATGCAGTTTCGGGTTCATACATCTATGCACACAATTTTTCAGCTGCCGACCAATTATGTGGCAACACCAATCTTGATGCTTTGATAAATGGCAACTTATGTGAAAAAATTAGAAGAATGAAGAACTGCACAGAACAATAAATAAACCTTTTGTAATATAAATATATCAGGGTAAAGATGCGTAACAGTTGAATAATTAACTGTGTTATTATGGATGCCGGTACACAAGTATATTATAAAAAAAAACATGAATGGACTTTATATTATCTTGAGTAATAACTAGAAAATGAAAACACATAAAACTGAATTGAGGAAAGTAAATACTAATGCCGTCTATAAATCATTTATTGCTGCAGTGTACTGCGCTGCCGTTTCTTGTTCCCAGCATTAGTACAGTAAACAACGACGCCCATACGTCTGTGACAACCCAGTGATGGCCGACTGTATCAGACGGGCTCTACTGTTTAAGTTCTGCTTATCCTTGTTCAGTGGAGTGTAGCACGTAGTGTATATAGTGTAGTATATAGGGTATGTTGCGTCGTTATCGGGGTCTCATCCTCTAATTAACTGAGAAGCCTCGGCTCTCTGGCTTTATTATTAATCACCAGGGCGTCAGAACCACCTGTGATAATTACCACTCATTGCATTTCTCCTTGACAAGCGTCTGCCGCCAGTTCTCTCTGATTTTCAATTCATCAAAGTAATCCGTATCCTTAAAAAAAACTTGTGGCGTACCCCTCTTTCTCTCTCCCTCCCTCTCTAGTTTCCTCTCTCTCTCTCTCTCTCTCTCTCTCTCTCTCTCTCTCTCTCTCTC